TATGGCTGGTCCATGTTGAATGAGCCCTTTGCTTCTCCAGGCCTCTGTTTCCTCATTTCTGAATGAGGAAGCTAGACTAGACAGGCTTGGTGGCTTCCCTTCATCCTAACATTCTTCATCTTTCAATGCTAAAAATGGAAAGCACAGGCAAACCAGGACAGGCAGGCTTCCCTGTGGGAGCTTTGTTTTCTCGTCTATAAAATGGGGACAATCGAATATGACCCAGATCCACAGATGAGGATGTGCTTTGTGGAGGAAAAGGAGGGAGGCATAGTGTTGTGGGATTATTTTCAGGACTGTGATTGACCACAGAGAGTGCTCAGAACCCACTCGCTTAGACTCAGATCTACCTCCTTAATTTATGTCCCTGAACCTCATCTGCCTTATCCATCCATAAGGTGCAGATAAAAATGGCACTTACAAGGCCCAGCATGGAGGCTCATGCCTGTAGACACAGCAACTCAGGAGGCCGAGGCAGGAGGGTCACTTGAGCCCAGGAATTCAAGAACATAGTGAGACCCTGTCTCTACAGATATAAAAACAAGTAGCTGGGTATAGTGGCATGCACGTGTAGTCCTAGCTACTCGGGAGACTAAGGCAGGAGGATCACTTGAGGCACAGAGTTTGATATAAAAAATACATATATATATATACACACACACATATATATATATATATATATCTCCTATGGTGTCTGTAACGATTAAATAAAACCCCTATGCAGAGGGCTCAGGCACCAATGCTTAGCACACAGTAAGCTCTCAACCACAGGAGGCTGCTGCTGTTACCTTTCCTTCAGTTGCAGAAATGAGGTTCAGGGTGGAGAGGGGTTTGGCCAAGGTCACACACAGAGGAGGGAGTAGCAGATGCTGCCCTATTTGGGCTTCCTCCCTGTCACTGGCAGGCATCCCCGATAGTCAGCTACTAATTTCCTCACAGCAAGGTAAATGAAATAAATACACCCGAAGCCACTGAACTACTTGAATGAGGCTTGGGTCTAAGTATTGTTTCCATGGTGTGTACCCTGGCAAGCATGCATATGTGATTTGTTTAAAATCCCTGTTCGCGAGGGTGGAGGCAGGGTTGTCAGGCGATTCTGTCCAGCGGCCGTCTCTCTGTAGACGGTGCCCTCCCACCCAGACCGGCGTGAGATGGCTCAGTGTGATTTCAAGGGAAGGGCCCCCTTCTACATGGCGCCTGAAGTACCTTTGGCTGGACAGTGACAGAGTAGAAAGTGCACTGAATTAAAAGCCAGGAAGTCCGAATCGTTATCTATTACATAACAATAATAGGAAGCCACTTTTCTGAGCTCTCACTACTCTATGACATTGCCAAGTTCCCTGCATTTACTGTTTAATTTAACCCTCCCTGTTACTCAGAGACGAGGTGCTTACAAATGACCGCATTTTACAGATAAGGGAACTGAGGTTCAGAGAAAATAAAGAACTCACCCAGAAACACCCGGATAGAGCCAGGAAGGACCTTAAAACTCTTCCCTGGGGCAGGAGGTAGCCAGCTCTCCCTACAGAGCCTCACGGAAACTGGACATTCAAAAACTGGGACTAGCGGGTGTCCTTATAGCAGCTTAATTTATTCATCTGTAAAGTTGGGGGACAGCCGAACCTGATGTTGGTCAGGACAAGGATGAAAAATATGGTAGATGAGGATGTTTTGTGGGAGGAAAGGGAGGTAGAGAAAGTGTTGTGGAATTGTTATTAAGATAATGATTGACGGACAGGTGCAATGGCTCACACCTGTAATCCCAGCACTTTGGGAGGCCGAGGCAGGCAGATCACTTGAGGTCAGGAGTTCGAGACCAGCCTGGCCAACATGGCAAAACCCCGTCTCTACTAAAAATACAAAATTAGCCAGGTGTGGTGGCAGGAGCCTGTAATCCCAGCTACTCAGGAGGCTGAGGCTAGAGAATCGCTTGAATCCAGGAGGCGGAGGTTGCAGTGAGCTGAGATCGCACCACTGCATTCCAGCCTGGGTGACAGAATGAGACTCTAAAAAACAAAAAGAAGAAGAAGAAGAAGAAGAAGATGATTGACAATGAAAAGCGCTCAGAACCCAGAACTCAGACCCAGAGCTTGCTGTCTCCCTCCTTCTCTGTGTCTGTCTCAGCAGACAAAAAATATATCTGCCTCTCCCCAGCCCAGCTTCTTTTCATCCCCTTCCAAAGATCAAGTTTCCTTTCTATGGCCAAGATGTGAGAGAGAAACAGCACACCAATTTCCCAAGCACCAGCCCAGAGCCCTCCCTGACTGTAGGACGCAGAGGAGAAAGAGAGAAGAACGTGCTGAGAGCGGCCAGGGGCCGTTGCCAGTTGCTTCATTTCTGTTTTCTTTTTTCCTTAAGCAAAGTACACCAAAGGCTAATTCCCGCCTCTGTCCTTTAGTAAGGTCTGGCCCAAGCCAGAGTCTGGAGGAAGTGAACTTGGGGGCCTTGCCTACCCAAGAGGTCACCTTTCAGTTGCTTCTTTTAATAAAGAATTAAGCCTTAATGCCAAACAGGATGCTCAAGAGAGCTCTGGAGGTCCCGGCTGTCTCTGCCACCAACTGAACAGTGAGCATCCTTGGTTTGGTACCTGGAGGATGTGGGGCTCGGGGAGGGTTAAGGAAGCAAAGAGAGAGAAGGGCACAGCGTGGTCCTGGATGGGTTTCCCTGCAAACCAGAACCCCAGCAGCAAGATGCCAAAAGACACTCAGCCGGTCGACACCCGGGCCACACACAGCAGAGAAATGACACAGCACGCAGGCGACGCATGAATACACAGAGAGAAACATACACAGAGCAACGCCAGATGGAGAATGTAGCCCGGGCTGGGCCTGGGGATTCATTATTTCCTCACCCACACAGAGGGGCTGGCGGAGTTACGTAATGCAGGCTGCAAAGGGGAGGCTGAACTTGCTAATTACCCCCCCACACACACCCCCCATTGTGGGGCTCCAGAAGGTGGCACCTCCTTCTGGAAGGGTCTCTGCACCCACCTCCTGCTCTCAGAGGCAGCAGGAGCTTGTCAGCTGCCTCAGTCCTGGGGTGACCCTGGGAAGTCACTAAAAGGGAAGCGAGGAAGTGAGTGTCAGTTTGTTAGTCATGGCAGATGGGGGTTCCCTCCTGGTGCTGAAGCGTGGTGAGGATGCTGGCAGGAAGGGGCTTTGGGACAGAGATGGAAGTAGCACTTGAGTGGGGGGTAGGGAAAGAGATGGAAGGGTTCTCTGATGTCCGCTACCCATCTTGCTGGTATTGATGTTTGTAGTGTGACCAAACCTATCTTTTTGAACTTGGAACAAACTAATAATCATGGGTAGAGATTGGGGGCTACTTCCCACCCTACCCACACCCACAGATCACCTGCCCCACCCCAGACGTGCCACACTGTGCATGTACACGGCCCCGTGGGTACATGCTACAGGTACTCATCCCTCACCTGGGCCACAGCATCTCCAGCTGGGCCCCCTGTTGGCCTTTGGTACCCCAACCAGACCCCATTTCTTTGAGCCTGAAGGAGTCAGTGACTTGGAAGATGCCAGTATTTCAGGGAAAAAGTTAGGAGTTAAGAAAATAACTAGAATATAGATTTGATTTTTTGGGGGGCGAGGGAGACAGAGTCTCACTCTGTTGCCCAGGCTGGAGTGCAATGGTGTAATCTCAGCTCACTGCAACCTCCACCTCCTGGTTTCAAGCGATTCTAGTGCCTCAGCCTCCCAAGTAGCTGGGATTACAGGCACCCACCACCACGCCTGGCTAATCTTTGTATTTTTAGTAGACGTGGGGGTTTCACCATGTTGGCCAGGCTGGTCTTGAACTCCTGACCTCGGGTAATCCACCTACCTTGGCCTCCCAAAGTGCTGGGATTACAGGTGTGAGGCACTGTGCCCGGCCTGATTTTTTTTTTTCTTTAATAAATAGAGACAAGGTCTCACTATGTTGCCCAGGCTGGTCTCAAACTCCTGGGCTCATGCGATCCTCCCACCTTAGCCTTCCAAAATGCTGGGATTACAGGTGTGAGTCTCCATACCCATCCTAGAGTATAAATTTGGAAGAGCTAGAGTATAAGTTTAAAAGCTCAGGCTCAAGGTCAAACCCTCCCCCTGCCATTATTCTCTGTGCGACCTTGGACAAGTTACTGAACCTTCCCAAGCTTCCCTTTCCTCTTCTTTTGAGGAGTTATCGTTAGGATTAAAGGAGAAATAAAAAATATATGTGTTAAGAGGGAACGTGCTCAAAAAGTGTCTGTCGTGTTTAGTCTTTGGGGTTTTTCTTTCTTCAGTCAACTAATATTCATTGAGTACCTGCAATGTTCCTATGTTTCCCTTAGGGGTATAAAATCTACTCTTCCTAAGGTTTCTCCATCAGGGTTTCAGCTGTGTGTGTAGCAAAAGTGTCTTCCACAATTTTGTGTGGACCCATCTTCTTGGTATTCATGTTTGTAGTGTGACTAAGCCTATTCTTTTGAACATGGAACAAGCTAATAATTATAAACATGGTTATGAAGGCCAATGGACGTTCGTCATCGTTGGGTCCATGGAAGGCAGTGTCATTCCCGTTCCACTGGGCTTTGGGAGCGGCTGGAAAAGAGAGCCCAAAAATCTATGCCAGCTGAGCCCCTGAGCTATGGATGGAAAATGTATACAAGACACAGAGAGCAACTAGAATGCTTGACAAGTTGGACTGATGACTTCTCGTGGTGGGAAAGAGATAAGAGAGGTTTTCTGATTCTTGTCACTTGATTTCTCGGGGTGATTGTCTGTGGTTTGCCCAGGGAGACCCTTTCGTCCCGGAGGGCGTTGATCATGGAAGCGACACTGGGTATTTTGCAGCTAACTCCAGAAAGAAGCATTTTGTTTCTAGGTTGGCTTGAAATTCTGGAGTGTCTTGTGGCTAGACTTTGTCAGTTGGCTGCATTTTCTATCTCAGCTTTCAAGGTGGTGTTGGGCACTCTACTTCAATCTCTTTTTGTAAAATTCTTTTCATCCCCTTCCTGTTCTTCCTCTTCAGCTCATGATGCCTCAGGTCTGATCCGCATCTAACAGGCTGGCAATGAAGATACCCAGAGAATAGTTCACATTTATCATGCGTCACTTCTAGACACAGCCACCAGACGCGTCTCCTCCCCTCTCTGCCTGACCTGTGGCTTAGGGACACATCCCACCGCCTCTCTTGACGTCTGCCTGGTCAACCATCACTTCCTTGGAGAATAAGGAGAGAGGCGGACGCAGGAAATCATGCCACCGACGGGCCACCAGCCATGAGCGGGTGACGCTGAGTTGACGTCAAAGACAGAGAGGGCTGAAGCCTTGTCAGCACCTGTCACCCCGGCTCCTGCTCTCAGCTTTGCCTGAAGCCTGGCTCCTCCTGGTGAAATCACCTTGGCCTGATAGCATCGTGAGGTCTTCAGACAGGACCCCTTGGAAGCTGGTTACCATGGAGGATCACATGTTCGGTGTTCAGCAAATCCAGCCCAATGTCATTTCTGTTCGTCTTTTCAAGCGCAAAGTTGGGGGCCTGGGATTCCTGGTGAAGGAGCGGGTCAGTAAGCCACCCGTGATCATCTCCGACCTGATTCGTGGGGGCGCCGCGGAACAGAGTGGCCTCATCCAGGCCGGAGACATCATTCTTGCGGTCAACGGCCGGCCCTTGGTGGACCTGAGCTATGACAGCGCCCTGGAGGTACTCAGAGGCATTGCCTCCGAGACCCACGTGGTCCTTATTCTGAGGGGCCCTGAAGGCTTCACCACGCACCTGGAGACCACCTTTACAGGTGATGGGACCCCCAAAACCATCCGGGTGACGCAGCCCCTGGGTCCCCCCACCAAAGCTGTGGATCTGTCCCACCAGCCATCAGCCGGCAAAGAACAACCGCTGGCAGTGGATGGGGCCTCGGGTCCTGGGAATGGGCCTCAGCATGCCCAAGACGATGGGCAGGAGGCTGGCTCGCTCCCCCATGCCAACGGCCTGGCCCCCAGGCCCCCGGGCCAGGACCCTGCAAAGAAAGCAGCCAGAGTCGGCCTCCAAGGCAGAGGGGAGAACAATGAACTGCTCAAGGAGATAGAGCCTGTGCTGAACCTTCTCACCAGTGGGAGCAGAGGGGTCAAGGGAGGGGCACCTGCCAAGGCAGAGATGAAAGATATGGGAATCCAGGTGGACAGGTAAGCTCCACGGGGGGTGTGTGTGTGTGTGTGTGTGTGTGTGTGCATGCTTGTGTGTGTACATTTGTGTCCACTGAGACTCAGCCTCACAGCCCAGAAGCCAACCTGGGCTGTCTCAGACACCTGTATATGCATTCCCACTTGGCGGCCCCCTTGATCTTCACTTAAAATTACATTCGCAAGAGGCCAGAGGGCATAGCTTCTAGGATGCTTCTCTTGTCACAAAACCCAGAGCGAATTAATCATCATGGTAGCGGACAGTGTGTCTTCTCATCTTTATCCCCTATAATCCTCCAGGAACCCAGGAACTTGCATTTTTACAATCTGTGTTTCACAAGTGAGAAGACAGAGGCTCGGAGTGGAGGCTGCGCTTCCTGAGGTTGCCTAGCAAGTGGAAGGCATGTGTGCATGGCACCCTGGGGTGTGTGGCTCTGCAAAACCCCTTGGAAGACAGGAGGGAAGAGCTGAGCCCGGGGCAACCATTAGCCTAAATCAGCTTTCTCCTCATTGCAGCCAGTCCAGGATGTGTAAAATTCTAAAGGAGGAGAAGGGAATCAAAGTCTAGAATTGGCGCCAGTTCCCAAAATCCGCAGTCTTCCTGGGATTATGTGAGAGCTGGGACGAGAATGTAAAGAACTGGGTACCAGCCCTCTATGTTTACCAGATGAATGTTTTCAATTCTCTGCAGGAGGAGAGCTGGCAGCAGAGTGGGTGATGCTAGCTCCTTCTCTGGGGAGAAATCAGCGGCTGGGCCAGGCGGTCAGAGAATAATGGGTCAGGAGATTAAACACAGAGAGAAGTTTCTCTGTCCCCCTTCCATTTGCATCTTAGGTCTAGCACTGATGCTACAGTCCCCAGTGCTGCCAGGGTGGGTCTAGGCATACTCGGAGGGAGGCTCAGTCTGGGGCCACCAAAAAATCCAGGCCAAGATTTCCCAACCCTTTCCCCAAGAACGCCAAAGTGTCCTCAGAGCACTTAGAGATCTTCAGGAACATTCCGCACTCCCCCCCCCCGCCGACAACCTGGGGGCCTGGATTAAGGTAGCTCCCCAGGCCCCTGCATTCACTCATTTAACAAATGTTCATTGAGGACCTACTGTGTGTCAGGCACTGTCCTACGCTCTAGGGTGGAGCAATGAATGAAATCAACAAATCCCCTGCCCTTGGGGAGCTTACAGTCTAGTGGGGAGTACTGGTGATAAATAAGATAAATACATAAAATATGTAATGAGGTCATGTGCTATAGATGCATAATGATGTCTCAGTCATCAAAGGGCTGCTTTTGTATCAGGGATCCTATTAGATTATAAAACTGTATTGTTACTGTACCTTTTCCATGTTTAGATATGTTTAGATCCACAAATTCTTACAATTGTGTTACAGTTGCCTTCAGCATTCCCTACAGTCACATGCTGTACAGGTTCATCACCTGGAGGCAATAGGCTACACCATGTAGCCTAGGTGTGGTGTGGTGTAGGCTCTCCCATCCAGGTTTGTGTGAGTGCACTCTGTGATGTTCCCACAATGGCTGAACAACTGCCTAATGATGCATTTCACAGAATGTGTCCCTGTGGTTAAGCGATACGTGACCGTCTGTTAGGGATATATGTAAAGGAGATAAAGAAAGTGGGGAAGGGATTAGCTGGGCGTGATGGCACATGCCTGTAGTCACAGCAACTCAGGCGGCTGAGGCAGGAGAACCACTTGGACCTGGGAGGCGGAGGTTGCAGTGAGCTGAGATTGCACTGCTACCCTTCAGCCTGGGCAACAGAGCGAGAGGAGAGCGAGACTCAGTCTCAAAAAAAAAAAAAAAAAAAAAAAAAAAAAGGCAGGAAAGGATGGGATCAGAAATATTGAGAACTTTTAACTAGGGAAGCTAGAGCAGGTCTCACTAGGAAGACAACATTTAAATACAGCCGGGCAAGGTGGCTAATGCCTATAATCCCAGCACTTTGGGAGGCCGAGGTAAGCAGATCACCTGAGGTCAAGAGTTTGAGACCAACCTGCCAGCATGGTGAAACCCCATCTCTACTAAAAATACAACATTAGCCAGGCGTGATGGTGGGTGCCTGTAATCCCAGGTACTTGGGAGGCTGAGCCAGGAGAATCACTTGAACCTGGGAGACAGAGGTTGCAGTGAGCCGAGATCATACCACTGCACTCCAGCCTGGACCACAGAGTGAGACTCCGTCTCATAATTAATTAATTAAATGCCTGGAGGAAGGGAGAGAGGGAATCTGGGAGCTTACCAGGGGGTGGGAGAGGGGATGGGCACTCCAGGTAGAGAGAAGAGCCTGTGCAGAGTCCTCAGGTAGGAGTGTGCTTAACGTGTTTGAGGCGCTGCATGGGATGCAGCCTTCCTCCCAAACTGCCCTTTGGTGGCCCCTCAGTCTGTGGCAGCCCACCTCAGTCTGCCAGTGCATCAGAGTTTTCCTAACTTCTCACACCTGGGCAAAAATGGGGCCAATTCCATCAAGACCCCAGAGCCCCCCAAGGAGTAAGACACGGGCTCCATCACAAGTCCCTGGGCAGAGGGAAAACCAGGGTCACAGGCCTCCCTTTAAGCCTCTTCCCTCCAACCTACTTCTTTTTTCCTCTGTATATTCCCTGGGGACAGCCTGGAGTCCTCCCTGCACCTTTGGTCCTCGTCCCCATGAGGAGGAAGACCAAGAGTCTCGGTCCAGATACACACAGCATGGTGTGACGTCTCAGTGAGGTAGATGCATGCATGGGGAACTCTGTGGCATTGGATGTCCATTTCCAGAGTGGGTAGCCAGGATCAGTCTTTGGGATTCAGCTGACTGGGGGAGATTTGAAGCCTGAGTCACTTACAACTAGCACAGGAGGCCTCCCAGGCTGGAACCCGGGCCTCAGGGAGCTGCCACTGCCCCTAGGTCCCTCCAGCAGCACATCCTGTGGAGGTGGCATCTTGAGGCCTTGCTGTGTCTCCCAGCAGTCCAGCTCATGCCATGGAGTTAAATCCTAAGGCAGCTGTAGGATCCAGAACAGAAGGCATTGGCCTTGTTTGCCAGGAGGCTTTGGGAAGTGTCCCTACCGAAAGGCTGCCCCAAGCACCACCTCTGCCTCCCAATCCTCTGCCACCCTTGCTGTCCCTCAGTGCTCCCTCTCCCTTAGTGCTCCCTCTCCTGAGAAGAGCAGCACCAGTGTGGAATGGGAGCTCTGTCTTACCTTATATAAGCAGAGTCCCCTTCCCATGGGCAGCTGAATCCTAGCTGTATCTAGTGTCCCATGCACTTGATTGCAATTCTCAACTGGGCCTGGGGTGGGCATGGAGGGGTGAGTATCAGAATTCCCAGGGGCTCTATTTCAGCCACACCCCCAGAACCCCAGGAGTCTGAATCTCTGTATGTGATGTGGAGATGTCCCCCAGAGGATCCAGTGCAACCTCCCTTCCAGAACTGGGAGCTGGGTCCTTCCCCTCCAGGGGGTTCATTTGATCCTCTCCCCCAGCTGACAGTCTGGGACACGAGGCTTGGTACAGAACTCTAGGCTTGGGTGTGATGCGGAGGACTTCATGGGAGCCCTCGTGTCACCAGGCACCAAGGGGTTCCTCTCCAAACGCCATCTCAGGAAGTAGTCTCCTGTCTTTGTTTCCCCAAGCAAGAGGGCGAGACGAGCCAGCCTGACATGGATGCCCCTGCAGACCTATTTCCCAACTCAGGAGGCTGCATCCAAGCTCTCAGCTTCCCTCATCCCTTGCAGTCCTCCCACTAGTCACCCATCTCAACTGTGACCGTGATGAGGTGGTTTGCCCAAAAGCAGCCAAAAAACCTGCTTCATAGGAGAGACAAGGTCTGGAGAAGGTGGCTTAGAGCAAGTACAGGGCTCTGTGAAACTCACTTAGGTGAGCAGTTCTAAGGATGAGTGATATTTAATAATAGTGTGTGTCCTCCTAGCTCAATGGCTTGCACTCAAAGCACCCCCATTTCTTTTTTTTTTTCTCTTCTTTTTTTTTTTTTTTTTTTTTTTTTTTTTTTGAGACAGGGTCTCGTTTTGTTAATCATGCTGGAGTACAGTGGCATGATCTCGGCTCACTGCAACCTCCGCCTCCCAGGTTCCAGCAATTCTCCTGCCTCAGCCTCCCGAGTAGCTGGAATTATAGGCATACGCCACCATGCCTGGCTAATTTTTGTATTTTTAATAGAGACAGGGTTTCGCCATGTTGGCCAGGCTGGTCTTGAACTCCTGACCTCAGGTGATCCACCCGTCTCGGCCCCCCAAAGTGCTGGGATTACAGGAGTGAGCCACCATGCCCGGCCAGCACCTCCATTTCTTAACACATATTTTTAAGTGTCTTTACTAATTCATGGATCATATAACCTTCTTGCACTTCTTATTTTTAAAATCTAATAAAATGCCATTAACTATTAAATGAAGGGGACCTCATAAAAGTAACTTATAATTTCAAAAGCCTGTAATTTAACATATCAGCGTTCAGACACGACCGCACTGGAATGGTCAGATGTTTGCGCCTAAACATAGAATTGCTGCAAACACAACAGCGTCAGAAGCAGAGACTGACACAGGTGTGTTGTTCTGGCAACTCAAATGCCATGAGCAGCGTCGCCTTGGTGATGCGATTTTCCAAAATGGTGAATGACTCCTGATAAAGCAATGGGTAAATCCATCTTTCCTTAATTTACCCAGTGGATTTACTGCATGGAAAATTCAGTCTGTTTTAAAGCCGTATTTATACAGGAGAGAGTTGGGATCTCAGTTCAGGAATATAAGCTTGTCTTTTATATGTGTGAAGTCCCAGAGATCGTGTGGCATGCAAGACTCTCTTCCCTCATGTTCCTGGTGTTGCAGGATGGCCACCAAGCCTAATGCCACCTCCCTCCTACTACAGTGCCAGGAGCACCCCCACCTCCATCCTTGTAACAACCAAAACTACCTCCACAAATTGCCAAATGGCCTCCTAGGGGCTGAAATAAGGACCTCTTTAGGCATCAGTGTCCCAAGTCAGGAATTGGAATCCCA